GGATGATTGTCATCACTAGCTTGTCCGGAGGCTTAGACACGAGTTCAAATGACTGGCAATTGTCTTAGACATGGGGAAAGGTTTTTTAGGTGGTGTCAAACATGGCATGAGGTTCTACATCTTCAACCTAAAACCCAAGGTTCTATGGTGTCGACTAAGAACCTTTCCCACAAATGAAGGCCACTAGCACCGGCCAAAAACCACACTTCCCTTCTTCCAAACCACTACCAATCACGAACCATATTCAAGCACACACATTCGGCCTATCTTGCTATCCACATTTTGAACGTAGTAGTGAAGGAGGTCATCGACAATTTAGGTGTTTCAATGGCATGAGTGCCAATAAACCCTTTCTAGAGCATACACTTAGACTTTTGGGGCCACTCTCTACTTTTATTTATCCCGTTTTATTACCTCTTTTTCGTTTCTTTTCTTCCTTTTTGTTCTTTCTTTCTTTTTGTTCTTTTTTTCTCGAGGGGGGTACTAGAGAGCTAAACACATGTCACTTCTTTCATTTAACGAACAATGCTCTCCATTTAAGAACTTTCCTCCAACATTACCTTCTCATTTCTAGCAAGAACCGTGCAAAACCACCTATGTAGAACCTAAATGGAGCTCAAAAGTGAGAACTCCGAGACACAAGGATGACTCACACTTTGACACGAAGAAAGGATGGGTGGGGTCGTTCTTTCAATCACCATTAAGCTCAACAAGCACGAAGCTCCTAGCATTAGAACGACCCCCAAAATCACACGACTCAAAGGGGTTAACTAGGGGATAAAATGTTTTGGGACAATCAACTTTTGGGCGTGGACTAATCCTATGCCTCCACCATACTCACTAGTGACAATGGTGAATGTTGCACACCATGGCGAGTGGGATCTATCACACATGAAAAAGACGATCGGCAGAAAACTCACATGGCTACCTAATAACCCAATCGTCTAATCCAATTCCAAAAACTTCAATGCATGGAAATTGTAATCAAGAAGTGACCAAGTCAAGATATCCATTCATTCAAGCACATGTGAGAACGAAGCCTTTGCACAACCCTATTGCACTCTCAGCCATCATAATAGGATGCACTCGATTACATGTAACAACTCAAGATCGATGCCAAATAAACACGAGATTCACCCACCAACCGACCATTTTGATCATGCATTTCTTGGAGCCCTCAAAATTTTCAAATTTGGGCATCATCAAGGCTCCAAGCATTCACTCGCACACCCAAGCATAATAGTAAACTACCCCCCCCCCCCCCACTTAAGCTCGACATTGCCCTCAATGGCGTAAAATAAGGGATAGAACGATGTTACCACATAGCTTGGTGAGTGAAAGTCGGGACCGAATTGGGTCGGAGATGAAGAGGGAGCTTCAAGGAGACCAAAACAAAGACAAACATGCTCGCGCAAGGCGAGGTTATTTCACTATAATAGTACTTAACATAAAAATAAACACAAACCTATGTTGGGTTGCCTCCCAACAAGTGCTACTTTTACGTCATAAGTTAGACGGTTGCTCCTTAAGCTTCGGTCCATCCGAGAACCTCCTTGAATTTGAGGTTCTCGTCGGTGAGATGAAGTCTCAAGCCATGAGCATCAGATGAATCCATGATTGAGAGCTCATGAACTTGATCGGCTTTGAGGCTCCACCCACGAGACCTCTTCTTCTTTTCTTCTTCTTTCTTTTTGCCCCACACCATGTAGTCCATCATCGATTGACTTCCATCGCATCCACCAAGAGGGATCGCCGATGGTTCGGCCTTGGCTTGGCAAAGAGCCGCAAATGGGTCCTTCTCCAAAAGTGCATCGAGGTCGGGTGGAAAGCTTTTCTTCTTCTTTATTTTTTCCCCACACCATGTAGTCCATCATCGATTGACTTCCATCACATCCGCCAAGAGGGATCGCCGATGGTTCGTCCTTAGCTTGGCAAAGAGCCGCAAATGGGTCATTCTCCAAAAGAGCATCGAGGTCGGGTGAAAGCTTTGGTAGCTCTTGTAACTTGTGGATGCTTCATCCACAATGACCTTGTCCTCGTCTTAGACCTCACTTGCTCCTTCTACTTCTTCCTCAACCTCCCTTCCTTCTTCTTCACTTTGTTCATCCCCTTGGGAACAATCAAGATCTCCCTCCTCTTCAAGGATCCGTTCCTCCTCTTCAACTTCCCCCTTATCCTTCCCATTTGTGTCTTCAAGCACGGTTTGGAAGGCAAGATGACATGCAAGATCATAGAAGTGATTCTCTTGCTCCTCCACACTCGTGACTTGGTCTTTAAAGTTGCTCTCGAAAAGGGGAAAGTGACGAGAGTCATCAATGCAACCTTCTTATTCATCCTCACCACGGGAGCTCTCCTGGTAGAGTTCCTCCTGCTCCACATGGTTTTCATTGATTGCCCCTTCAAATCTTGCTCTTCCAATTGTGAGAGGTGATGGCGTGCACAAGCTTGTGCCACCTTATCTTCTAATGTCAAACCGGGAGGAGGGAGGGGTTGGAAATCTATGTCGGAGCTCGTTCTTCCAAAATTCTCAAGGCTCTCAGGCTTCCTTTCTTCCTTCCAATGGTAGGAAGCGATTGTGAGAAAGTTGTGCACATGCCTGCTCAACAAGCCCTCCTAGCCTCTCCGTGTGTCGAATGAGCTCCTCTGATTTCCACGGAAAGGTTAAGTTGAAAGGGCGACAATTGGGAGGACCATGCTGGAGCACCCTTCATCGGTGCCCGGGAAAATCGCTTCACCATGAGCTCTAATTCACCCTTTGGCTCCGATTGTGGAGTGGCACATGGACTTGATGTTTTTCCCATGAAAGCCTCCATGGCCAACTCCAACTTGGATTTCACCTCGAGATTCGGAGGGAAATCCGCTTGATATGGGGAAGCTTCTTGGTATCCCCATGAGCATGGTTGCTCTTCTTGGAATGGGGGTTGGTAATATAACCTAGACCCTTGACTTCCCCCATTTTGATCGTCCCATGAAGCTCCGGGGTACCCACTCTCGGGTGGTGGTGGTGGATACCCCCACACTCGGGTGAAATCATAGGGGTCCAAGATTCAAAACCTACAAACAACAAAAACACAATCAAACAAACACAAACCACCCTTCAAGACGAAGAGTGGGTGAACAAACACAACACGAGACAAAAGACAAGATAGAAAATGCTAGAGTAACACTAAGCGACTTTTTCAAAATAATGGACCGTTGTTCCCCGGCAACGGTGCCAAAAACTTGACTCACCACGAATACACCGCGAATTAATCCCGAATAGAGCCCAAGTTTTTAAACTCTAGTCGGGTGCAACATAAAGCTAGTATGTTTTAATTGTCAAACCCGGGCCAGTCCATGTACCCCCACTTCAATTGCTTAGTCTGTTATCTAGCAACCGTTTTTGGGTTTAAAACTAAGAAACCTACAAATGAAAACAATTAAGTAAAGTAATCGAGGTTGTCCCAATGAGAGAAGAGTTCACCCGAGTGTTGCTCCCCCTAGCTAACAATTACGACTTGTTGGATCGAATGCTCGTGTGTGGTGAGGGGCTGTAACACTAGAATGGCAATTAGATTGATAGGCTTTCACACAACACAATCATTCATGAATAATACCTCCACATTCACATTAAACACAACCACACACAAATCATTCAATCCATACAAACATTCACTTAATTAAGCTAGGGTTTGCAAACACCCAAGTGAATAGGTAGGCTATTTCATAGCTAGGGAAAGGAAAACAAGGGAAAGGAGAGAAAGAACCATGAAGCGATGAAAATCTTTCCTCCTTGATGCTTGAATCTCCCTTGAGAAGAAGAAACCTTCACTCCTCTAGCTTGAAATGAGCCCAATCTCCTTCTTCCTCCTTTGAATGTCCCTTTCTCTCTCTAGAATAGGAAGAAGAAATCCTAATCTCTCACTAGAAATCCTCCTTTATTGTGAAACTAAAACCCTAGAAAAAGCTTCTCTCTTCTCCTTCAGCTCTCTTCCCCTTTTATACCCAGATCGGGCTCAAATCACGGTCTTAGTTCACGGCCGTGAACTGAAAGCCCACACCGTGAACCAACAATGAAATGCGTCGCATCACTTAACTCTGTTCACGGATGGAGGTTGGAGTTCACAGTCTTACGACCGTGTACTGGCTCGTGTCCAGTGTAAACCTTCTGTGCTCTGGATGCCTCGTTGTTCGCGAGAAACGCCTCCAGTTCACGGTCTTAGTGACCGTGAACTCACAGCCCAAATCGTGAATTGCTGTTGTTTCCACCGTTTGACTTGATCTTTCTCCTTTTCGTCCAACTTTCGACTCCGGGGTTGGTTTCACCTGCCAAAGCCTCAAAAACACCAAAACAAGGCACAACCCGGCGTAAAACCAAACCTCCCGGAGTAACAATGCTTCAAACGACTAAGCAAACCGAGGGTAAAAAGTGTACAAATGAGCCCGAATCAATTTATCTTTGTGATTGATTTTATTAGGATAAGAAACAAAACAATGAACCACACTTAATGTAATAGCAAAATTGTAGCACTATACCAACCACTCATCTATAAACTTTTAAACTAATGACATATTTACCAATATCTAATATCCTTAAATGAATACATTGTTTAAACGGGTAAATTCCGCATTTGGTCATTGGGATTACAAAATCGTGTCATGTTTAGTCACTAGAAAAAATTAATATCAATTTTGGTCACTTAAATTACTGAAACAAGTCACTCTGTTAGTCTCCATCCAATTCCGTTAAAAAAAGTCTGTTATGTGCTGACATGGCTAACGAGAGCGTCTAGTCAGCGTCATTTAGGGCCAGAAATGGTCAAACCCGACTCGCCACATCACTAAACTCGCAATTTTATACACCCAACTCAACCCAACCCGCCCCAGAACCAAACCCGACCCACTAAACAAAAGAAAACCTGCCATCTCATCCTCCACCCTCATCTCCCAATTTCGTTCCCCCAGCAGCCGCCTACGTCAGCACCAATCTGCTCTGGCGTCCAACTTCTCCCGCATCTACATCATCCACGAGCTCTCCTCCCGGGAGAACTAGAAGAAGAAGAGACAAATAACTGAATCTGCTCCAGAAAGCTCAAGTTTTGGGGCCGATCTTTCGTCATCTCATAACCCCCTCGCCTCTTTCTCGCTGTACAAACAATACCCTCTCTTCCCACATTTCTCCCACATCTCCGTAGCGTAGCTTCTCTCCGCGAAATACGCCTCCACGAAAGCGATGGTTTCCTCTCCTCCTCCGCTGTCAATGGGTTCCACTCTGATTGGAAACCGCTCGTAATGGTCGCGCGCCGTACTCTCGAGCTCGTCCAGGTGGGCGAGTCCCCGGGCGGAGGAATGGCACGCGGTAGGGCCTGCAGACGAGTGGGTAGGGTTCGACAATCCGGAAATTACAGCGGAAGGACGCGTCGTCTGTGCGCATGTGGAAGGGAATTGGGAGATAAGGGTGGAGGAGAGAGATGGCGGGTTTGGTTTTGTTAAGTGGGTCAGGTTTGGTTCTGGGTCGGGTTTGGTTTATTGGTTGGGTTGGGTGTATGACATGACGGGTTTAGTGACGTGGCGGATCGGGTTTGGCTAGTTCTGGCCCAAAATGACGTTGACTAGGCGCTCCCGTTGGCCATGTCATTACATAACGGACTTTGTTAACGGAGTTGGACAGACTAACGGAGAGTGACTAAATGTGACATGTTTCAATAATTTGAGTGACCAAAATTGATATTAAATTTTTCTAGTAACTAAACATGACACGATTTAGTAATTCCAGTGATCAAATATGACATTTACCCTTTCTTAAACATATAACCCACATTAGAGACACAATCCACTAAGTCTCCTGAGTAGACGATCTGGGCCGTCCATGAAGTGTGCTGATTGATCCAACGAGTTCAGCATTTGAGTGAAAGCAACCCAGTAAAATTGATCGAAGCACTTTTTTACCCCTTTTCTCCTCTGCGCACCAATGACAAGAGGGCGGATCCAGTGACTAGGGGGTGCTTAGTCACTTGACTAAGCCCCTCCCAGCCCTTAGATCTAGACATTTCAATCCAATGGTTAAAAAGTGGGAAGGGCTATTTAATTAATGACAGGGGTAGTTTGGGTATTATGAAAAATTATGAAGTATACAAACCGGATTTACAATCAGTACAAACCATACAAACATACGAACAGTACAAACTAGAGCGACAAAACATACAAACAGATTTACAAACATTACAAACGTATGAACTGTACAAACAATACAAACTAGACCGATAAACAATACAAACCATACAAAAAGAAAAAACAACCGGGTTGACTTTTGAGGCTCCATCCCTATATAGAGGGGCTCCTTCCCAAAGTCAACCCGGGTGTTTTTTAGACATACAAACAGTACGAACATGGTGGACAAAAATGACAAACTAGACCGACAATCCATACGAACGGGAAAAAACACCCGGGTTGACTTTGGAGGCTCCATCCCTATATATAGGGGCTCCTTCCCAAAGTCAACCCGGGTGTTTTTTAGACATACAAACATTACGAACATGGTGGACAAAAATGACAAACTAGACCGACAATCCATACGAACTAGAAAAAACACCCGGGTTGACTTTGGAGGCTTCATCCCTATATAGAGGAGTTCCATCCAAAAGTCAACCAGGTTGTTTTTTAGACATAAAAAACATTACAAACATGGTTAACAAAAATAACAAAGTTTACAAACATGGTGCACAAAAATAACAAAGGTTACAAACATTACAAAAAAAAACCCGACAAACATTACAAAATAACAAAGCATACAAACATTACAAAATAGGGTTAAAGACACATTTAGTCACTGAGATTACAAAATCGGGACATGTTTAGTCACTAGAAAAAGTTAATATCAAATTTGGTCACTACAATCACTAAAACTGGACGCATTTAGTCACTCGCCGTTAGTCTCCGTCCAACTCCGTTAATGAAGTCCGTTAAGTGCTGATGTGGCAAACAGAATTGCCTAATCAGCCGGATATAACCCAACAAAAATAAAACCCGACCCGCCACGTCATTATAACCCGCCACCTCATTAAAACCAACCCAACCCATGACCCAACCCTTCTTCCTCCTTCCTCCCCAACCCAATTTAGGGTTTTCCCCATCCCATCCAAATTCGCTGAGCGGGGAGAAGATCTCTCCGCCATTAATCTGCCGCCCTTCCTTCATCTTCTTCCTCTGTCATTCCCAATTCCAAAATTTTGAAACAGCTTACCTCATCGGCAACGACGGGACCGGGGGCGGCGCTAGGTCCGAGAGCCCCGACCGAGCAAGGAGGAAAGAAACTATCAACATTGAGACATTTCTTCGCGCGGCCTGGAGAATCGTCTCCTCGATCGAGCAGAAGGAGGAAGGCAGGAAGAACGAGGAGCATGTGGTGCTCGTCAAGGATTACAGATCTAAGGTGGAGAACGAGCTCTCCGATGTCTGCGCTAGCATTTTGAACTTGCTTGACTCGAATCTGGTACCGTCCGCTGCCTCCAGCGAGTCCGAGGTGTTTTACTTGAAGATGAAGGGAGATTACCATAGGTATATGGCCGAGTTCAAGGTTGGTGATGAGAGGAAGACGGTTGTTGAAGATACTATGCTTGCTTATAAGGCTGCTCAGGTAAGGAAGCTCTCTGTTTCACGATTGGACTTCGATTCAATTGAATTCGATTGAAGTTGGATGTAGATGGAGGAGAAATTGAAAACTTAGGGTTTTGCTGTTGAATGTTAATTGGTAAAGTTAATTTGGGGAATATTGATTTTGTTGGGAACCATCCTCTCCGCCCTTCCTTTATATAAACTTTCAACACCTTAGATCTGTAATCCTTGATAGTTTCTTTCCTCCTTCCTGCTTGGTCGGGGCTCTCGGACCTAGCGCCGAAGCTAACGCCCCCGGTTCCATCGTTGTCGATGAGGTAAGCTGTTTCAAAATTTTGGAATTGGGAATGACAGAGGAAGAAGATGAAGGAAGGGCGGCAGATTAATGGCGGAGAGATCTTCTCCCTGCTCAGCGAATTTGGATGGGATGGGGAAAACCCTAAATTGGGTTGGGGAGGAAGGAGGAAGAAGGGTTGGGTAGGGTTGGGTCATGGGTTGGGTTGGTTTTAATGAGGTGGCGGGTTATAATGACGTGGCGGGTCGGGTTTTATTTTTGTTGGGTTATATCCGGCTGATTAGGCAATTCTGTTTGTCACATCAGCACTTAACGGACTTCATTAACGGAGTTGGACGGAGACTAACGGCGAGTGACTAAATGCGTCCAGTTTTAGTAATTGTAGTGACCAAATTTGATATTAACTTTTTCTAGTGACTAAACATGTCCCGATTTTGTAATCTCAGTGACCAAATGTGTCTTTAACCCTTACAAAATATGTCAACAAACATCACAAAATAAGCACTGTCGCCGGGAAATTCTTCTCCGGCGACGATGTTCGCCGGAAAAAATTTTCCGACCAGAAAATCTCTCTCTCTCTCCGCCAACAAATAATTCCAGGGAGCCAAATAATTCCTCAGGACTAAACATTAATTTTTAATTATTTAATAATTGAAAAATAATAAAGTAATGCAATTACTATATTGTCCTTCATTAAATTGGATTAATCTGAAGCCTTTGGATTTAAATGAGGTTGGATGGCTAAGATGCACCTAATCACATGACTAAGGGGACCCCTAGTCACCTGATCTTGGCCCCAATGACAATGGTGCACTTATCTTACGATTTGACAAGCACAGTCAACCTGTCGTTTACCTCCCGACCCGACGGTTTAGCGTCAATTTGGGCGGACACAAAGCAAGCCCCAGCGTCGGGCCAGCACCAGCACCAAACAAACTAGCCAGCCAATCGGCCACCCATCCCCTCAGCTGAATAACAATAAGATGATTTCCCGCCCTTCTTTGCTCCACATTCCGCCACGTGTAACTCCTACGTCCGCTCCCTCCCCGCACCATTTCTAACACAGCCTCTCTACAAAGCTTCCATTTCCCATTCAGCAACCAAACCATTCACAGTTTCACACAGGACAGTCCCCACTCTCCACTGTCCGTAGCCACTTTCCGGTGCGAGAGCTAGTAGATATTTTCTCTCTCTTTCTCTTCGCCTCTTTAGCGGCGTAAAGGCGGTCCTGTGCTCTCGTTTCGGTTGCGGTTCCGTTATGGAAGCGGCACCACAGCTCGTCTATGGCGGGATTGAGCCTCGCTCGTTTGCATCACTCGCTCGTTTCTCCAGAGCTTCGGTCAAGGTGCCGGCACGGCGGCGAATCAGCCGCGTTATGGCAGTCGCGACTGAGCCGAAGCCGGCGCAGAGTGGGAAGGACAAGCCATCGCCGAATTCGAACGGCTCCGCGACGTCCGGGCCGGCTAGAATTCTTGTCAACGGAGCTTCGTCCAAGTCAGCGCCGAAGAGGCCCGTCAATGGAGCTGCTTCTACTGTAAGTACTTCCGAGCGATTGGCGTTTGATTAGGTTATACATCGATTTATTAGTTTGCGGCGTACGTTCTGTATAAGCTAGCATTTGGTTGGTGAGAAATTGAGATCGAGAAAGAGAATCTGGCTTCAGTCTTCGTTTGACTGAGAATTTGAATTTGGAATGGGCAGAGGATGGGAGAGGTTTCGCAGGAGATCAAGAGAGTGAGAGCGCAGATGGAAGAGAATGAACAACTGTCTATCCTTATGAAAGGACTTAGAGGCCAGAATCTGAGGGACGAGCAGTTTGCTGATAACAGTATTAAGCTTCGCTTGGTGGAGGTAATGAATTGTAGCTTTCAATAAGGTTGTGTTTCTTCAGACTTCAAAAGTGTTGGGTGATTTAACCTATTGGTATTTTATGTGGACCTTGTACGTACACAGGTTGACGAAAGCAGCGAATTTCTGCCCACGGTGTATGATCCTGCCACCATTTCTGCTTACTGGGGAAAACGGCCTCAAGCTGTTGCAACACGCATTGTTCAGTTGCTCTCGGTGGCTGGAGGTTTCCTATCTCGCATTGCTTGGGATGTGATTAACAACAAAGTCAACGAGGTGAGTAATGGGGAAACCAAGCCCAGCTCCAACTTTTCCAGTGTAGTTTGTCTTCCTTTCCTTACTGAATCTTTCTATTTCAAAACCAGAATCAAGTGACTAGAGCCATTGAGTTAAGAGAGATTGTCACATCATTGGGTCCAGCATACATCAAACTTGGCCAAGCATTGAGTATTCGTCCAGACATACTGTCACCTGTTGCAATGACTGAGTTGCAGAAGCTTTGCGACAAGGTAGCTTCACCAGCTTTTGTCAATATGTGATGACTTTTATTCCATCTTCTTTTACCAATTTAAATTTAATGTATCTCGTTTAGCTTCCTACCTTCATTCAACCTCTTTAGTGTGGTGGCTGAAGTGTATCCACTTAGTATTACAGTTAGTGATTCGTCATTTCTATATGATAGTCGCTCTTAATATGTCAGAGTTCATTGAAATGGATAAGTAAAGAACCCCTATGATTCTACATATTTCCAGCATCTTTTAGACACTAGAGTTCTCTGTTGCTGATTTTCTATTTGATGATGTCTGAAGGTTCCTTCATTTCCAGATGACATTGCAATGGCTCTGCTAGAGGAAGAGCTTGGACAACCGTGGCAGAATATCTATTCTGAACTTTCTTCTTCTCCCATTGCTGCTGGTATGCTCACCAGGAACAGAGTTAATCATTATGCTAGTCTCTGCATTCAGTGTTTAGAGATGGTAAATAACATTCATCCCTTCACATCCATGTGCAGCCTCATTAGGACAGGTATATAAGGGTCGACTAAAAGAAACAGGTGAACTTGTAGCTGTTAAAGTACAGAGACCATTTGTTCTCGAGACAGTAACAGTCGATCTTTTCGTCATAAGGAACTTAGGCTTGTTTCTGCGGAAATTTCCTCAGGTAGGATTTCAAACTTTATTTGGACTTCTGTGAGTAACATACATTGTCAGGATTGTCAGTAATGGATGGAGGTGATGATGTTCCTTTCCTCATTTTCATTGTCTCATCAGATCTCTGTCGATGTTGTTGGATTGGTTGATGAATGGGCCGCTCGCTTTTTTGAAGAGCTGGATTATGTTAATGAAGGTGAAAATGGAACTCTTTTTGCTGAAATGATGAGGAAGGACCTTCCGCAGGTGAGTTTAGTAGTTACTAGTTAGGACTTTGTTAGTATAATTGGATAAAATCTTTATTTGAGATCAGCTGTTTGGAAATGTAAGCATCTGTGGAAAATAGGCCAGAGTGAATTACGAAAAAGTAACTGGAGAAGAAACTATGTTCGGAACTCTTGCAGAAAAGATTAGCCAATTAGTTCTTACTCTGTTGCTCATTTACAGATATCACACAAAACTAGCGCAGAATTGCAAGATATTACATATGATTGCCATGTCTGATTACTAAGGATGCCAATTACTTGGTAGTTGTAGGTGACAGTCCTGACGTCAAAATCTTTATTCATGAGTAAGAAATTGTCTCTTTTAGGTTGTTGTGCCAGCGACTTACCTTAAATATACTACAAGAAAGGTTCTCACAACACAATGGATTGATGGAGAGAAACTGTCGCAAAGCACTGAAAGTGATGTTGGGTCATTGGTCAATGTTGGAGTCATATGTTACTTAAAGCAGGTATGCAGATGTAGAAGTAAAGAACAGCACTATGAACTATGTTTTACTTCAATTCTCATTGGACAAATAACTTATTCCTAATTTTTTGGAACTCTGTTTGATGATAGTTACTAGATACTGGATTTTTCCATGCTGACCCACATCCTGGGAATCTGATCCGCACACCAGACGGGAAGCTGGCTATACTTGATTTTGGTAACAATCTACTCAAGACCTTAGCATTTTACTTTCTCTTCAGTTCTTGTTTGTAATTGACTAAGTGCATATATCCATGAAAGGTTCCATATTGATCCTTTGGTATCATGGTGAATGGATCGAGAGAAAGTGAATTAATTGAACTGTACAGACAAATTTATATTGGGTTTCCTTTGTTCATGTTTATGGTGGATGCTTAAGCATGCTGTTGCTTTAACAGGTCTTGTCACAAAGCTAACTGATGACCAGAAATATGGGATGATTGAAGCTATCGCTCACCTCATACATAGGGATTATGATGCAATTGTCAAAGATTTTGTCAAACTTGGGTTTATTCCTGAAGGGGTTAATTTGGCACCCATTTTACCGGTACTGGCTAAGGTTTTTGATCAGGCACTTGAAGGTGGTGGTGCAAAGAATCTCAACTTCCAGGAGTTAGCAGCGGATCTTGCACAAATAACCTTTGATTATCCGTTTAGGATACCTCCTTATTTTGCACTGATAATCAGGGCAATCGGGGTGTTGGAAGGCATCGCTTTGGTGGGAGATCCTGAATTTGCCATTGTAGACGAGGCATACCCATACATTGCACAGGTAATAGAACTTCTCTGTAAATGATGTCTTCACGAATTATTTGTCTTATACTTCTATGGGTATTACGACTTCCAAGCAAATAGAGTTGTTCTTATACTTCCATATATTGGTGAGTATTTCTGCATCTTTTTTGGTAGGACCTTTTGTACATTGCATGAGATTAAGGTCACTACAGAAGTATTATCTGTTGCCATGCTAGGTCGACAAACTGTCAGTTCATGCATCCATAACTGAAGTGGATGTATACTTATTTGAATGACTATACTGCAAATGTGCCTGTTAGTAATATTCTCAGACCTGTGAATGCTTAAACATTGTTGAATAATAGATTTGAAACTCTTGTGAATCACATCAAACTGGAACTTATCTTTTTGTTTGCTTGATCTCTTGTCATCTGTCAGAGGCTCCTTACTGATGAATCGCCTCGTCTGAAAAGTGCTCTGCGTTACATGATTTATGGGAAATCGGGTGTATTTGATGCCGAAAGATTCATTGATGTCATGCAAGCCTTTGAGACTTTCATCACGGCAGCCAAAAGTGGAGGAGGAGCGGAGCTGAACGGGGATATGGCAGGACTAGGAATCATGCGAACTGAAAGTATAGTCTCCTCTGCCTCATTTTTGCCTGCTTTTCCACTAGCAGCGACCCAACAAACTGCCGAACCAATTCAAACAAGGGCAGCCCTAACCTTTTTGATTTCGGAGAAGGGAAACTTTTTCAGAGAATTCCTTCTTGACGAGGTAATGTATGATGGTGCCTTGGTGCTTACTAGTTCTTAATGTGGTCTTCTGTTGTTGTCAAGGCTCCTTTAATGTTCTCTTGTTTCTTCTGGTGTATTTATAGATCGTTAAAGGAATTGACGCTGTGACGAGGGAACAGTTGGTTCAAATACTGGCACTTGTTGGATTTGGAAATGCTCCTCCTGTCTTTAGCATGGTTCCTAGACCATTTAGACCAGCAGCTCTTCTCCCGAGCATAACCGAGGAGGACAAAGTCATCCTCAACAACGTCCAGAAGGTTGTTGAGTTCCTAACTGCCGGGAGCTCACTCTCAAGCACATCCACTCAGGTACCTCCTTTAATTGTCCAAAGCAGAAATCAAAACCATCAGCGATTCCGCTACGAAAAGTTGATGTAACAATGATGGTTTGCTTCTCTTTATCTTCTACCAGGGGGGTGCCAACACAGCCCAGATTGTACGGGAGCTTCTTCCTGTTCTGCCCGGCATATCAGCCAGGGTGCTCCCTGAGGTAATCACAAGGCTCACTTCCAGAGTAGCTGCTCGGATAATTCGGGATGCATTTTTGTTGCAGTAATTAGTTCCGATGTGTACATAAGTTAGGTAACATACGAGATACATACAATGAGCATCAATTGTACAATGCCCTGTCTTTGAAGGAAGCGGATTTGGGATAACAAAAACAGATAGATGCATTATATGTAACCAGATAGTTGAGCAAGGAGAGAAAGTGACCTCCCATTCTGTACATCATCTGTTCAAGTAAAGTGCCATTATTACACGGATGTACAAACACATTATGATTTACTCATTCAGATTGTTTCCAGAACTCAGGAAATCTGATCACCTCTGTTTTCACGGGAATATTGGTAATCTCTGCTCTCCAGAGGCATATGAGATGATGCCCCTCTTCAGTGGTGAAATATAGTTCGCGGCATGAAAGGCAGCAGCACGCAACACATTAAGAGGCCCGAAATCAACAGAGTATATCTTCTGAAACCCGTCCAGCACAGCCATCATTGCAATGTTTGCTGGTTTCCTTTCTGCTTCATACTTTCTCAACAGTGAGACCTGCAACGGGAATAGCGAAGGAAATACATAGTCCATCAGCCTTGAGACACTACTAGCTCTTTTCGTTTCCAGCAAAAGAGAGAACAAAAATGATGCATCACATCCAACCATTACTTACCTCCCCAATGTCCGTTCCTACTGCAACTCCCTCACCAATGATTCTGGACAGGGTAAATGCATCTCCGAAACCCAAATTAACTCCTTGGCCAGCTAAAGGATGAACAGCATGTGCTGCGTCACCAATGAGAACAATGCGTTTTGCCACGTAGTCATTAGCATGCATCAAGGACAGGGGAAATGCAGCTCTCTTGGAAGCCAACTTCACAACCTTTGGTGGAACCTCAAAAGATTCATTGGTCGACATTGTCAAGTTTCCTCCAAGGAATGAAAACTTGTTGCTGCCGTTAGAGAAGTTGGACTTGGGATGAGGGCCGTATCCATTATCCATAGCTTGATTTACAGCTTTCACAAACTCATCCTCATTCATCACCGTCAAGTCTGATGCCTGCTTCGGGCTCATGGTCCAGACAATATTGCTAAAATTATCCCCTATCGGCAAGAGAGCAATTGGACCACCTGGTAAAAACCTCTGCCAAGCAGTGTGATTTCCAACAGAATGTTCAACGGTACAGATTATGGCATTCTGTGAATAGTTCCACCCAGTAGTTTTAAATCCTGCTAGGTTCCTGACTTGCGACTTGGCCCCATCAGCTCCAACCTGGAACGAATGAATGAAATTTTAAGAAATATATTCCTCACTGAAGCCTGCCTGTAACTGTCAGCAGTCTTGGGTCAAAAATCTAGCTAAGACAGTTTAATTTAGTCGGCATAGCCTGTATGTACACTTACCACCAACTTCGTGTACAGGCTGCTGCCATCGCTCATTTCTAGCTTTACTAATCCCGCTTTAATGTATGATGCTTCCCTAGTGTTGTCATCTGCCTTCACTGAAGAACTTGGATATCGAATCATTGAAGCCAACCTAGAAGGGTAGATTGTCTTTTGGACGTCTGTATCCTGCAATCTTATACATTTGCATTCAGGATATAGACACATACTGGCCAACCCAGGTAAAGATTATTAAGCACAGTTTTATGGACTTAACAAAGACAAACAGGGAGGACCTAGCAGAATACACTCCAAAGTAAGAAGGTCCACGTAAATATACTATGAGATCCAGGAAAGAGAAATATGGGGGAACTAGAGGTAACTGGAAGTAGCACCCATGGACTGTGCAAATCTCAGAGGATAAAATGCAACGAAATATTCGGTGAAGTAAAAGCAATGGGGCATATGGATAATGTAAAGTGACCATTAAGCAAGGACATTACTTCAATACGCGATAACAAAGAGCTATGAAGCACTCGATTCTCTACCACACACCTGCATCATCATGCAGAGATCTATATCAGTGATTGACGACAGCATGAAAGTGAACCAACTTTGAGCACCTAGGCCACAAGTCTGCATACCCTAAAACATCTTTGTATACATCTCTGGCATCGTAGGTTGTATATCCTAAGCCAGTGTAATCCCAGACCTAGAGAACAAGACCAAGCATGAAACAGAAGATACAAGATAGTGCATCAGCTCAGAGCAGATTCAACAAGACATTCACACAGTGCAAATTGTTTCTTGCTGAATGAACCAATACAATACCAAAAAAACGGAAGATCCACATATAGTCTACATAAGAAAACTGCTCTAACCCACAGTTCGATCTCGGTTATGTGCAGGAACTAGTTAGGGGCAATGTTCTCCGATTAGACATGCGACTCGAGTTCATTATTCATAATAATTACATCCAATTCAAAGAATACAAGGAAAATGTGTAGGTGAGTCTCAATTTTGAGTTAAAACGCCACCGAAGTCTATAGTTGATAAACGAGCAAAAGACATGCATTGGAAATGGTTTGTACCTGCATCTTATCAAAAAATGCATGTCGATGCTGTTGAACGTATTGCCAAGCACCAGCATCTGCAAACTGGAAGACATTACTGGAAGTGCAATATGTCGATTGACTAGATTTGTGATCCAGGCACAAGATTTGCAGTTTAAAGGAAAAATAAAATAGAACTTAAACAACCAAGACACAAAGGATCAGGAAAAGGGGCAAATGAAATATCATTCTGGACATCATACAGACTATCTATAAAAATTTCCTGAAGGATTTCTGAGGAGCTCAACAACCCACTAGCGTTTTTAGCAATTGGTCTGTAATAGTCGACTGGTAACCGTGTTTTATAATGCAGATATGTTCCACGCTGGTCCGGTTTCAGAAAGTTCCAGATTCTGGGCAGAATTATCAACACCATACTGAACATACCTTGGAAATAAGAAATGGTTGCGGGTGTCACCGTACTGACCCTGGGATCAGGTGGATCCTCCCTCTTGATAGACAGCTTATTAGCCAAAGCAGGATTGCTATCAATAATGGCAACTTTCAGGTGCTTCGTCAGGGGCTTTGTTGCTGCAGGCAAATAAATTCAGCAAATTTTATCACTACAACCATGTTTGGCCATCAAGGAGGACTGTCAAAGCCTAATCGGCCAAGCAAGTAATCACCCACGGGCCACGAGAAGACGAGGTTAATGCAAGAGTTTAGCTACTTCACGAAGACATGTCCGCAATGCACACCACATACCCAAGGAACAAGCTAGAGCCATCCCGACCATGCCTCCTCCGACAATAGCAAGGTCGTAAGGTTGATCATCTCCAGCGAAACTCCCATCCTTCTGATTGATTATCTCAATAACGACAGGGTTAGTGAGGTTATAAGTATAACTGTAGTAGCAATGACAGCACCAAGCACTCTCTATTCTCCAAAAGAACCAACAATTCACAGAGAATCAAAACCCCGAGAGACAGAAAAATTGGGGGGAAAGTTGGGGATTGTACATGGTTAAGCTGGCCGGATGAAGCGCTTGACGCTGGTGCAGCAGCAGCAGCTTCGCCGCCACTACAGAAGCCTCTCTTCCATGGACACTTCGGTTGATGGTGATTCGAGTAAAGAGTTCTTCTCACCACCAATCTGCCATCAGCAATATAGCCAGGACAAAGATCAATCAAGGATACAAAAGTACCAAATTCCGATTGCCAAACGGGAAACGACTTGCGGGGGGCGGAAAGTGGAACGGCGAATCAGAATGGCAATGGAGAGAAGTGAGAGCGAAGTCGAACGAGTGAACACGATATCGAGAATTCTCCGGACCTGTTCATTCTTGCAGCAGCTCTAGGTAGTGAAGGCGAGAGGGACGACGTAGGCGGTGGCAGGGAAGCAAGCTCCGGCAGCGGCAGTCTCTTCTTCTCCAACGCACTTGAGTTTGAGAATGGGAAAAAATCCCAGAATACTTTAATTATTAAAAAAAATTCTCTAAATACAGTACTTATAAAATTAATTCCCAAAATACAGCAGTTTCAACATCACTGTTTTTGTCTAAAACAGTGATGTTGATCACTGTTTTGGTCTAAAACGATGATACATCACCGCTTTTGACAAAAGCAGTGATGCTATCACCGCTTTCAAGGCCGACAGTGATAGCATGACCGTTGATGAGGGAAGCAGTGAGGGCCTTCACCGTTGGATCCAAAAGCGGTGAAGTGGCGCGGATCGCTGACGTGGAGGCGCGCGGGCACTTCACCGCTGAAGACCAAAGCGGTGATAGCCCCGCTTTCCACGTCAGCGATCCGCCCCACCCGAGCCTTCACCGCTGCCGTCCGATGCAGTCATGCGCGGATTGTGGTTTTTCTCCACAATCCGACGCATCACACGCCGCCACGTCACCTATCCGTGCCATCACCGCCTTTGTTGGACGCAGTGATGTCACTGTGTTTCTTCGGGGCGGTGATTAATGCCCAAGACTTTCCCCCCCTTCAAGCACTATAAAATATAAATACACATCCCCCCCCCCCCCCTCATTCCAAACCACACCACCACTTTATACTTCTTTCTCCCTCCATTTTTCACTCTAGTTTCGTTCTAAGTATGCTCTGTGGTTGCGGCTAAGTCCGATCTTCCGCATCAGAAAGAATTACTAGAGTTTTTGTTTTGTTGTTTTGTGGATACTCTCGCTAGCTTTTCGGCAAAAAATGGACGAAGAGGCTTTGAGAGTACGTAAATCTATTTAATTCTTTTGTGATTTTTTTTACATGGGTGCTAAAATTTAAATTGATTTGATTTCATATTTTTTTATAGATGGGTGCTGAGATATACGACCCTAGATTGTATATCGATCCTGGCCCAAGGGATCGAAGGTATTTAACCGGGCAAGATCAACATCGCTCTCGTTCAATTTGGAACAATAATCCGGTAGACACACTAAAATTATTTCAATAGTTTTAAAGTTTTTATTTTGCTTTTTAAAATTTTTAATTTGTGTTGGAAATTGGCTAGGAAGTGACGAATACACCAACGCCATGTCCATCCCCATTCGTCCGGGAAACCACGGACGGCGTGTTTAATCCCGGCATGTCGATCTGATATAATTGTAATACCCATTCTTTGTGTGACGTGGGCGTGTAGCTGGTCAAAGAACCATGCCCAACTTAGGTTGTTCTCCCCTTCAACTAATGCAAATGCTAAGGGAAAAATACTTAAATTTCCATCAACCCCAGTGGCAATAAGAAGCGTTCCTTTATACTTCCCAGTAAGGAAAGTTCCATCAACCTGTTAAAATGAATCATGAGTTAGTAAAAATTGAAATTAGTAAAGTAATGAAATAGTACAATATTTTGAGTCCGTAATATACCTGAATCACTGGCATGCAGAAGGGAAACCCGTCAATGCATGGCATGAATGTCCAGAACAGACGATGAAACATCAACTCGTTCTGTACTCAAACTTGATCTTCAGTTTCTACGTTGTTGTACCAAGGCACGAAAACCGTCCCAGGGTTGGACTCCTCCATTGCGGACATTAGTCTGGGGAGTAAAGCATACGAGTCATCCCAATCACCGTAGGCCTCAGCCATGGCCTTCTGCTTCCCATGCCACGCCTTCTTATACCTTATGGTGTAGGAGTGTCGATCCTTCACCTCCGCCATGATAGCTTTTATCTTGATATCTGGTTGTGCCTCGATAAGGTGCTTAATGGTTCTTGCCACTTTTTTTGCTTTCAGTTGCCGGTGATCCTGTGAAAGTATGGTTGAGGAGCAACTGTGGTTGTTCTCTACTGTCCGCATGACCCAGACGCCCTTTCTCTTCATATATGCAGCACGAAGTTGCCACATACAACCCTCTCTAGCATTCTTACAAATGACATGCAGTTGTCCCTTGTCAGAATATTTTACCTTCCATTCGAAGTTACGCCGCATGGCTTCTTCGATAAAAGCGTCTTGCACATCGGCTTTCGAAGTGAACGCCATACCCACTTCCAAATTAGCAGTCGGATTATACACAGGCATGGGCCGAAAGTCAGGGGCATCGTTCTGACCATATAAAAATTGATCAGGAACCTCTGTGTAGTAAGGCGTTGGTGCCTGACGGAACGCCACCTCACTGTCATCGATATCGTCGATATCGTCCGTATCTTCCTCCTCACTGACTGATCTCAAATCTTCCTCGCTTTCATCGTCACTGGAGGCGAATGGATAGCTCGGCTCATGATGGTCATCGTTACTAGCATAACCAGCATCGCCTTCTTGGTCATGCGAAGTACGCCCAGTTCGAAGGGTGTTTTCAATGTCACCCCACTCTGGACCCCAAGCAGGCCATTGATCACCGTCGGGCTGGACGATATCGACGGCGGTCTCACCACCATGTGGCAGGTATTCTTCCCACCCAACACCTCCTTCAGAACTACCTCCTCCGTAGTTGCTTGAAGTACCTCCCCAACCATACCCTCCTGCAGAAGTACCTGCTCCGTAGTTACTTGAACTACCACCCCAGCCATACCCTCCTGCAAAACCATCATCATAAGAATACTGGTGAGAATGAGTTTCACCGACCGGCTCGGTCTCGACATACACCTCTGCAAGCCGCACCCCGTTCTCAGATATGAACTGTATCATCATGTTCGCGTCGTCATCATCATTTATGTCAACTTTTTCGTACATGACTCCGTCAGCACTCATGTTGGGATACCGGTAAGTAATTTGACGAACTCTCCTTTGCCCGCCCGTACAAGTCCTTTCTGCACACCTGTCATGGAGTTCTTGCCACGAGAATCTCGACTCAATTGTAAGCATACTGGATTCGCCATTTTCATAGTCGATCCCAACGTTCGAGTTTGTCACCCGACCATTCCAATAAATAATAAGCCGAAACTTCTTAAATTTACCCATGTCTGCAATTTATAATAATTAAGTATAGTATATAATTAGTACATCATGGATACAAAAACAAGATCATCCAAAGCGATAATAAAATGCAACTAATTGATCTATTATGAGAAAACTAAACAAATTCATCTAAATTCATAACTAACTAACTAACATCTATCATATCATAATTAATCTAAATATATCATAACATATTTTCCAATAACCGCAATTCACTAAATACAGACATATAATTACTAACACATCAACATGTAAAAAATACATACTTATAACATACTCAATCCCGATCTATCATGAGAAAACTAAACAAATTAATCTAAATTCAGTACTAACTAACTAACATCTATCATATCATAATTAATCTAAATATATAATTCTAACATATCTAGTTCTAACACATCATCAAAATGTAAACAATACATAATTCTAACATACCGAATCCCGACGAGTTTCTTGAGCAGTAAACTACGGAGGAACGAGCTGCGAAAACGACTTAACAAAACGATAATTTTTGTACTGATTTGCTGTAAGGCAGCAGGAGGGAAGTGGGCGTAGGTTTTTATAGGAAAAAATGAAAACTAATCACCGCTTTGGACCACGGCGGTGAACACATCATCGCCTTAGTCAACAACGGTGATAGCTAGGTAGCTGTTACCTACTTCCCCACCTACCAGGGCTCTGTAAAACGCGGTAAATATCACCGTTTTGCACAACAGCGGTGAGGCAATCACTGTTGTTGACTGCAGCGGGGATGCCTTCCCTGTTGATGTCAAAAGCGGGGATACGTTCCCCGCCTTTGTCTGAGGTGGTGATAGGTTCCCCGCCTTTGTCCAAGGCGGTGATACGTTCCCCGCTGCTTCACTGTTTTGGACGAAAGCGGTGATTAGTATCACTGTCTTTGTCCAAACAGTGATGTTGAAACTGCTGTACTTTGGGAATTAGTTTTATAAGTACTGTATTTAGGGAATTTTTTTTAATAACTCGAGTATTCTGGGATTTTTTCCTTTGAGAATGAGTATCAAAACCCAGTTTGGGTAAATAAATAGAGTACTAATTAACGCCCTAACTTTTTAAATTTATCGCCCTAACTTAGATAAGTTGACGTTTTTACCCAAAACATCCCCAATCTCTAACCAAATTCCAAAAAATAAAAACAATTCCCAAAAACATAGAACTCGCCCTAAACGTGAGCTGTCGCCCTAGGATCCCCATAGCCGGCGAACAAGACCTCGCCCGTCGCCGCCGTTGACCCTGGAAGTCCTTGCCCTTCGCCGTCGTTCACCTGGAAGTCCTCGTCGTGGCTGCTCGGTTCCCCGTTCTGCCCAGTCGACGCCGCCAATTCCTAGAATATGAAAATCAGTCAGAGGGCTCAGGACAGGCCGGGACTTGCTCTGCTTCTGCCGACAGTCGACGGGAGGTCGATGAACGAGTGTCGATGATCAGTCTTCACCCTCCTTCCTAGTAAACAGCGACTATCCGTCTTTTTCCTCCTCCTTCCTCGACCGCAAAGAACTCGGCGTGACGTTTCCTTCTTCCTCCTTCGGAAATCATGTCTCGGCAGACGATTGAACTCGGCGCTTCAGAACCCAGCAGTAGCAGAGGCGGCCGGCGGGGTGGGATTAGTTTCTCTCTTCTGTGTCCTCGATCGGCGAAGTGGCAGGCTTGGCGGCGGAGACGAGGCGAACCGAGCAGCAGAGCACCAAAGCAGTCGCGCGGAATTGGCCAAGGTTTTCGTCAGCCGAGTAGCAGAGCAACTGCGCAAGATTCGTCAACAGCCGGCGAATTTCATGAGCCGGATATTCCTTCCGTCGGTGATAAGCAGAGCCAATTAGGGATTAGGGCGATGGGTTGGGGCGATCGTTTTAGAAATTGAGGGTAATATCGTCTGTCTGATTAATTTAGGGCGGAAATTTTAAAAAATTAGGGCGTTAAATAGGAATCCAGAAATAAATATATACTGCCCGATTACAATTTGTGTGAACCTTCTCATAAGCAGATGCGCAGAGTAGAGGTGTCAATCCGGGGAAAAAATCCCAAAGTACATAAGTTCTTAAAAAAAATCCCAAAATACGTAGGTTATAAAAAAAAATCCCAATAGTACACATGTTTCACATTCACCGTTTTTTACAAACGCAGTGAATATAATCACCGCGTTTGACAAAGATGGTGAGCATTTCACCGTTTTTAAATAAAACTATGAGGTGTTCACCGTCTTTGTTTAAAACGGTGAGTAACAAGCGAGTCATTCACCGCTTTAAACAAAAACGGTGATAACATCACTGTTTTAATTAAACGCGGTGAAGTTCTCCCTGTTCTTTAAGTCCACGATGAATGCGACGCGGATCGCTGACGTGAACAAACACGGGGCATTCACCGTGTTTGTCTAAAACGGTGAATGCATTGCAACCGTCAGATGTGGTGAGGCGCGGATCGTGATTTTCTTCCCAGATCCAACGCCTCACAGCACGCCACGTCGTTCGATCCCCGTCAATCACCGTTTTCGATGAAGGCGGTGGTGAATTCACCGTCTTTGTCAAAGGCGGTGATGCCCCCCCAGTAATTTTGCGAGGAGCCCTCCCCTCATTCACTATAAATAGAACCCTTCCCCCACTTCCAAATCACACACCACATTTACACTTCTTTCTCCCTCAATCTATCCACTCTAGTCTCGTTCTAAGTATGCTTTGTGGTTGCGGCTAAGTCCGATCTTCCATGTCAGAAAGAATTACTAGAGTTATACCCTAAAGCCCCCATCCCTTATGAACCCGTCGAACCTCTGTCCGGCTTCCGCCAAAAAATGGACGAAGAGGCTCTTCGGGTAGGTTTTTTGTTTTTCTTTTGTGATTTTTTTTAATCAAAATAATTTGATTTTGTGATTTTTTTTAATAAAAAAAATCTGATTTCATTACTTTTTTTTATAGATGGGTGCCGAGATATACGATCCTCGATTGTATATCCATTATGGCCCAAGAGATACGAGATATTTAACCGATCAACAAGCACATCGCTCCCGTGCTATTTGGGATAACAATCCGGTAAATTGATGATTTATCTTGTTTTATTTTATTATTTTATAAGGTATTATTTTGCTTTCTTTAAACTAACAAATTGATGTTTTTTGTTTTTTTGTTTTTGTAGGAATCACTTATTCATGTCGTTCATAAAGGGACCACAAACTTGCCCGCTTGGCATGATCGGTTGGCACCCTATATAGAGAGGACCTGGTTGGGTATGCTAAGGTATTTCATGCGGATCGAAATCGACAACGATCTGCTTACGGCAATGGCGGAGCGATGGCGCCCCGAAACCCATACGTTCCACCTTCCGGAGGGGGAAATGACGATCACCCTTAAAGATGTCGCGATCCTCACTGGGCTGCCGATTTCTGGAAAAGCCATCATTGGGAGCACTACCAAACCCTAAGGAGGTTGGGGGCTGCTCATTCGTGATCGTTTGGGCTTTGACATGCCGACCACCACACCAATTCAAGGACGAGGGCATCCACCTTTGAATGTGGGACAAGTGTCAGTCCCGTGGCTCGTTACTCACATCGAAAATGAGGTGGCCATCGACAACGAGACACCGGATGATCAAGTGGAGCGCTATGCACGCATCTACCTCATTGGTTTGGTCGGTGGATTTATGTTCCCCGACAAGTCAAACCAGTGGATTCAAGGCATATGGTTCCCATTGCTCCTTGGTGATTGGGACGCAATAGGGGAAAAGAGTTGGGGATCGGCCGTGTTAGTTGGCGTATACCGGGAGCTGTGTACTTGCTCGAAGTTGGGAGTGAAACAAGCTGGTGCTGCGATGTTCATCCTCCAACTCTGGGTATGGGAGTATCTTCCAATGTTCGCACCTGAAGACCAACATCCATATCGAAGAGCAGATGATGAGCTACACTTTGTGCAAAATCCCCCCTGCGGTGTCGAGTAAGTTTATTCCGTACTTAGCCTAATTTAATTTTATTCCATGCTTAACTATATTTAAATTAAGTTTATTCCGTACTTAGCCTAATTTAATTTTATTCCATGCTTAGCTATATTTAATTTAAGTTTATTCCGTACTTAGCCTAATTTAAATTTATTCCATGTTTAACTATATTTCAATTAAATTTATTTCATACTTAGCCTAATTTATATTTATTCCATGCTTAGCTATATTTCAATTAAATTTATTTCGTACTTAGCCTAATTTATATTTATTCCATGCTTAGCTATATTTCAATTAAATTTATTATGTTCTTTTACTTATAAGGTGGATAGGAGCAAATACAAACGACCATCAACCTGAGCACTCTTTACTGTTTTATCGTTCTGAGTTAGATAAGCCTTGGTGGAACCAGGTTATCATGCTTTATCATATTTTAACAATTTAAATCATTTCAATGTAAATGGTCACTAAGTGCAAATTTTTAATGAGTATAGGTTACATGGGATCCATATCCACGTGAAGTAGTCAAGCTGCATCATCTCAGACACCCCAGTAAGGAAAGTTCCATCAACCTAATTAAATATTAGGAAGTAATTAGTATGAAATTTACTTGGGAGGAAAGAATACAAACATTTCAAATAGTAAACATGTATTTAAATACCTGAATAACCGGTATGCAGAACGCAAACCCATCAATGCATGGTTTGAAAGCCCAAAAAAGACGGTGAAACATCAACTTCTCCTGTACTCTAACTTGATCCTCAGTGTATACATTGTTGTATACTGGCACGAAAACAGTCCCAGGGTTGGACTCCTCCATTGCGGCCATAAGTCTAGGGAGTAAAGCATACGAATCCTCCCAATCACCATACACCTCAGCCATGGCTTTCAGCTTTCCATGCCATGCTTTTTTGTACTTTATCGTGTAAGAATGTCAATCCTTCACCTCGGCCATGATAGCTTTGACCTTGATATCTGGTTGTGCTTCGATAAGGTTCTTAATAGTTCTCCCAACTTTCTTTGCTTTAAGTTGCCTGCGATCCTGGGAACGTATGGACGAGGAGCAAGTGTGGTTGGTCTCAGCTTTTCGAATCACCCAGGCACCCTTTCTCTTCATATTTGCAGCCCGCAGTTGCCACGTACATTCCTCTGCATCATTCTTGTATATGACATGTAATTGTTTACTGTCAGAATATTTTACCTTCCACTCGAAATTGCGCCTCAAGGCCTCTTCGGTAAAGACATCCTACACAGCGTCCTTCGATGAGAACGCCATACCCACCTCCAAATTGGTCGTCGGATTATACACTGGCATAGGGATAAAGTCGAGGGCATCATTCTGACTATGTAAAAATTGAGTTGGAACCTGTGTGTAGTATGACGTCGGTGCCTCACGAAATACCGCCTTGTCGTCGTTATCATCAGTATTTTCCTCCTCGCTCACTGATCTCAAATCTTCCTCAGTATCATCGTCGCTCGAGTCGAATGGATAGCTCGGCCCAGAAGGATCAACATGACCACCATCACCAACATCGTCTTCTCGCTCATGTGAAGTACGCCCTGCTCGAATGGTATTCTCGATTTCAGCCCACTCAGGCCCCCAAGCAGCCCATTGAACGCCATCGGCAGGTTGATCCTGTTGCGAGTATTCTTCCGATGGCACCCATCCTGCACTACTACCTCCACCATAGTTGATTGAACTACCACCCTCTCCGTAACCTCCTGTATAACCACCTCCTTCGTAGTTGCTCAAACTACCACCCCATCCCTACTCTCCTGCAAAACCATCATCATAAGAATACTGGTGAGAATGAGTTTCATCGACCGCCTCGGTCTCAACATACACCTCTGCTTGTCGCATCCAGTTATCGCTTAGGAACTGTAACATCATCGTAACCGCATCATCATCGTTTATGACAACTTCTTGGTACACAAGCCCGCCAGTACTCATACATGGATATCGGTAACTAATTTTACCAAGTCTCGTCTGTCCGCTCATACAAACCCTGTCTGCACAAATATCACAGAGTTCTTGAAAATTGAATCGCGACTCAATTTTCATCATAGTGGATACACCGTCCTCATAATCAATCCCTATGTCAGAGTTTGTAACCCTTCATTTCCACCGAATAATAAGCTGAAACTTCTTGAATTTACCCATATCTACAATTTACAATAAGTAACTATTAGCATAATTCCAGTAATTCATAACATCGGCCATATTTGCTACGATAAGTAATTCATAACATAACAATATAACTACTAAAAACAACCATTAGGCTACAATACGAAAATTAAATCATACCGAAAATTCATGTTCTATGTATGTTGCTCGGTTTTGGTTGCTGAAATTTGAAGAGGGGGGAGGGATAACGTTTTTACAACTGCTGGTGAGAGTTGTACATAAAGGCAAATCGGCCAGACTTCACCGTTTTTGTCAAAAACGGTGAAGAATATCACCGCGTCTGTCTCAAACGGTGAAGATTAGGTGGTTGTGACCTAATCTTCATCTACCAGGGGTGAGAAACGTGGGAAACAATCACCCCCTTAGCCTGGGGCGGTGAAGATGTTCCCCGCTTTGCCCTAAGACGGTGACGTTTTCACAGCTTTTAATTTAAACGGTGATGTCTTCACCGTTTTTGTTAAACGCGGTGTTCACTTCACCGCTTTTAACAAAAAACGGTGAACACATCATCGTTTTTATTAAAAACGATGAAATGTTCACCGTGTATGTCAAACGCGGTGATTATATTCACTGCGTTTGTAAAAAACGGTGAATGTGAAACATGTGTACTTTTGGAAATTTTTTTATAACTTATGTATTTTGAGAATTTTTTTTAAAAACTAGTGTACTTTGGGATTTTTTCCGTCAATCCGGTGAGTTCGGTTGGGTTGGTTACAGGTTCGTCAGGTACAAGTCAATCGAATTGTGACTTGTGAGTTATTTGGGTTATTGGTTAGTCAACTGACAGATATTTTGATTTTTAAGTGAGGAAATTCCACCCAAAATTCCCTCAAAACCAATTCTATCCTCCATACCATCCCAAGTGAACATCGTGGTATTGTTTTGTAGTCTTTGTGAGTTTGATGGATCCATAGTTGGTAAACCTAGGGGTGGCAGTTCGGTTGTCGGTTAGCGGCTAACCGGTCGGTTGAACCGATAGCCGCCGGTTAGCGGCTAACCGAAAACCTACGAAATATACCCTCGGTCGGTGGTCGGCAAGGAAGAGTGGTTGTTCGGCTAGCTGAGTAACCGGTGGCAATTAATCGCGGCTAACCGAGCTAACCGAACTCCACCTAATTATTGCCCAGTTCTACAACCCCCCCCCCCCCCACCCCCCCAAAATCGAAACCTAACGGCGATGAACTCCACCTCTCCTCCACCTTTCGCCGTCTCCCCTCCCCGATCCCGCCACTACGTCCGTCGTCTCGTTCCAACGACCCCGCCACTCCGCCCTTCCTCTCCTCCAATCGCTCCCGTTACCACAGATCTCCAATCCGTCGCTCCTCTCTCCTCTGCTCGCCCCCTTCCTTTTCTTTTCCTTTGCGCACCACCAAAACAAAAACCTAGAAACTCAAAAACCCAGGTGGCCATGTCTTCTTCCATACTACTCCGGCGGCGATTGTTGGTGGGAAGAAGTCAGATCTCTTCGATCTGGTCTGGAGATGCAGCCATGCAGGGGCGGCGAAGAAGGTGGGATTCTGGATCTGGATCTAGGGATTTGTGGGTGTGGCGGGAGGATTGGTGACCAGTCGCCGCCACCGCCCTTCCTCTTTGCGAGTCGTCGCTGTCGCCCTTCCTCCTTCGCGAGTCGCCGCCGCCGCCCTTCCTCCTTCTCCTCCTTCTTGGTAGCGGCGGCAGGATTGGGAGGGGATGAGAGGAGATGAAGAGTCAAGAGATTTTAAGTTTTTTCCCCCTTTATCTCGGGTAGTAGACTAACCGAGATTTAGACCAAAAACAGGTCGGTCGGTCAGCGGCTAACCGTGGCATGATGGGCGGCCGGTGGTTGTCAGCGTCGTCTCGGTTTTCGGTTAAACCGAAACCGACCGACTGACAGCCCTAGGTAAACTCCGTTACTTTGATTTCATTCTTCCACTTCTAACTTTACTTCCCCAAATATTGCTATTTGATATGAGCACTAATATTTGGGCTGAATGATGTTTTTGATTTTGCAAGATTGTCTTCTACCTCGATTTCTTTTTATAGTTGAGAGAATATATTATTCAGTGTTCTCTATTTTTGTTGCTAGCTCTTCCAAACAAAATATAATAAATATACATAGAAATTCAACAAATTTTTTCCTTTCACTTCCTCTCTTCCAGTGTGCAGAATAGTTCTTTCACGTGTAAGGAATAAATAAGAAAAAATAGGATACTCCTTGTCTCAATTCTGTTGAGGATGAAAATGACTCCCCGTTCAAATTCATATCTAATTAATATGGGCAACAATATTCACACACGTTGTATCGTCAAAGTTATATACCTTTAGTCAAAATCCGCATATAACGTACATCTCCTTCATTATAAAGCTCCATTTTACTTGATTCCCTAAACAACGCCAAAATCTTTAACCATAAAATTCTTTTCCTCTAATTTTCGTAACATAATAATCTTCAAATGCCATAATGATTTTATTGACCAGGCGAGAAATGCACTTTGAGTTTCACATATCAATGTAACTAATATTCATTTTGTAATAAATAAGTTACTCGTTTTAGGTAGCAAAATAAATTCAAAGAGGCGAGAAAATATTCATTTATTTAACTTCAAGTTGGAAATATATATAACCGTAAAAGTACAACTTGCTCCAAGAATCACGTTGAAGCAAGCAACACCAAATTTTCCTTCAGACCTCCCCAACCAGTGGCCATAATAACTACAGGCCCATGAATAAAGCAAACGCAGTCCAATAACACACCACACAAATAAAAATTGGGCCACCACTACCTCAAAGAGCCACGCTGTGCAAGACCACGGTCTCAATCGTAAGCCCAGGCCCAAACCCAAAAAGCACACCCCAATCCAGCCCTTCTCCCGTAGTCGTGCACCCATCCGCAACCGACTTCTTCCTCATCTCGTCCAAAATGAACAACACACATGCACTAGACATGTTCCCATACTCCGCCAGAACGTGCCTCGTCGCCCTGAGCTTCTCCTCCTTAAGCTCCAATTTCTCCTCCACCTGGTCCAATATCGCCGGCCCACCGGGATGGGCTATCCAGAACAGGGAGTTCCAGTCCGAGATCCCCAAGGGCTTGAACGCGTCGTTCAAGCACTTGTCGATGTTGTTGGACACAAGCCCAGGAACATCCTTCAAGAGGTGGAACGTCAGGCCCACCTCGCGAAGGTGGCCATCGATAGCGCCGTGACTATCGGGCACCAAGGTTTGGGCCGCATAAACAAGCTCGAATACGGGCCTCTCCACCTCCGGAACTGGATCCGAGCCCACTATAACAGAACCGGCCCCATCCCCGAAGAGGGCCTGGCCCACTAGACTATCCAGGTGGGAGTCACTCGGCCCGCGGAACGTCACGGCCGTGATCTCCGAGCAAACCGCGAGTACACGCGCGCCCTTGTTGTTCTCGGCGAGATCCTTGGCGAGGCGGAGGACGGTGGCGCCGGCGAAGCAGCCCTGCTGGTACATCATGAAGCGCTTGACAGAGGGGCGGAGGCCGAGGAGCTTGGTGAGCTGGTAATCGGCCCCGGGCATGTCGACGCCGCTGGTGGTGCAGAAGATTAAGTGGGTGATGCTGGACTTGGGCTGGCCCCACTCCTTGATCGCCTTGGCGGCGGCTTCTTTGGCAAGCTTCGGGACCTCGACGACGACGATGTCTTGTCGATCGTCGAGAGATGGCGCCATGTAGGCGCACATGTTTGGGTGCTCCTTTAGGTAGTCTTCCGTCAGGTGCATGTAACGCTTCCTGATCATGGATTTATCGCCTGTAGGAAAAATTAATCATCAAGAGATTATTGGTATGATGATTAAGGTTGGTGGGAGGGCGGGGCTTACACATGCGCTGGAACTTGTGTTTGAGCTCGGTCATGTGGTCGCTGTTGGTGATGCGGAAGTAGTAGTCGGGGTAGGTGCTCTGGTCGACGCAGTTGGCCGGAGTGGCGGTGCCGATGGCGAGGATGGTGGCCGGGCCGTTGGCGCGTTGCGCCTTGCGGAGCTCATCCACCGTGATGCTCACCATATGATCTTCAATAAATAAGAATTATTGTGAATTAAGTATATATGTCGATGAAGAACACGTACGTACGGCGAACAAGGTAATTGAAGAGAGAGGGAGAGGGAGAGGGAGAGAAGGGGGGGATCGATGTTTGTGCTGTGGAATGGAGTTTGTTGGGGCGGTTTATATAGATGGCCGGAAAAATGGGTTTTGGGCTGGACCGGTATGGACAAAGGAAAAGGGACGGTTTCAGGCCGGCCGGTTTTTGGGGGGTGTGGGAGAGGTAGCTGATCGAGAAGTCACGTGCATGGTGATCCGATGTGGTTGAAAGGGGGGAGTGGAAGTTGCTGATGAGCTGGCGGCATATGACAAGTGATAGATACAGCTGCATATATTATATGGTACGTGGAGGGAGCCGCGGGGATTTTGTGTGTTTGGTATTTTGCTACTGTTTCCGTTTTTTTGTTTTTTGCCCGTAAACATGATGGTAAGTATCGTATTGGTGTTTGTTTGATGTGGTCTTTTTACTTACCTACCTATCAAAGTATGGATTGCAGTGATGTGGCATTTTTACTTACTTACCTACCTACCTACCAAAGAAAATTAATCAAATTGATCTTGGGTTCGGACCAAATTAAAGCATACCAAATGTACTATTAATTCGATCCTTGGTTCTAGAACGTCTTTCACCGTTGGACCGCCCCGTTGGACACAAGCTATTTGGCTGTTACCAGATATAGCTAGGTATTCAAATCAGTGCTATAGCTATTATGGAAATCAATGAAAGCGGTAGAACTCCAATTCAGAATTTTCAGATGTACTAGTACTAGCAAGTGCATCAAAGATGCAGTCATCGATTCTCCCGAACGGCCACAATTAGCGCGAGCAAACATATTAATGACTCGGTGAGGCAGAGAAGGCGCCGCCAACCATAGGCGCGAACAGTGGCCTCCATCTGCGGCCGGGCATGAAGCATCTCTAACACCCCTAAGTCGAGATGCAGGTGCTCGGCGATATGGCGGGTACGGATGGTACGCAGCAGGTGGCGTTGTGTGATGTTCAATTGGTCGAGGTAGGCCTCCATGGTCCTGCAAAGCAAAAGGATGTACAAATGCCAACCAAGCGAACAGGGTCAATGTTAGGCGAAACACACACCGAAAGCCCTCACATCGAAAGATATGGACAGTGGACTAGGCTCCCGGTGAAACAAGCATACCAATCACAACGAGAATCACACAAACAAACACACCGGGGGCCCTCAAGTAGAGCGATTTGGGCAGTGGACTAGGCCCCCGGTGGAACAAACACATAAGTCGAGCCCAAATATCCACTAATCAACCATTCACCACACATAGGCCACACAAGCACGCATACAATTCCAACATTCAAATGGTAGGCCGAGGAAATGAAATCCCGGGACAAAAATATAACAAGCACAGAGCGCCATCGACCTACCAATTCATTCTCAAATCATGCCACAATCCCAAATTCTTCACCTAACTCTAGGTATCAATTCTCCAAAAGTAAAATAAGAGACCATGAAAACAATCCTGGAGACGCAAGTAGATACCGCAAGGTAGGTGAAGAAAAGGGAAAAAACACTCCAAAGTCGCCGGAAAACCCACCGGAGACTCCCCGGAGAACTCGTTGCCGGTGACTCAACCTCCGCCAAACAACCCAACCTCTGGGGATTGTGCTCCTCGGCTCAAGGAGCGTAGGGGCGGTCACGGTGTGTGATTTGGAGGTCGGGAGAGGGAGTTGTGGCTGAAAAACCGGAGGAGAAGAGAGGAAATCCGATTTTCCGGCAAGTGGGGGCGGTTGGAAATTTGAAAAAATGAATCTGGGGGGGGGGGGGGGTGGGGGAGGCCAAAAATTGATTTTTATAGGGGGGTCATTAAAACACGGGCGGGAGGAAACATGGTCGTGTTTCCTGTGCTCCGCGCCAATGTTTTTATGGCCGAGAGCGTGCCTCCCCTTGTTGAAAACACAGGCGGGTTGGGTCCAAAACACGGCCGCGTTTTTGGACCCCTCCGCCCGTATTTTTTATGCCGAGAGGGCCATCTTCAACAGGCCAAAACACGGGCGAGCAGGGGAGGAAACACGTCCGTGTTTTTCTCCCCTGGCGCCCGTGTTTTTTATGCCGAGCCCACCTCTATATTTTTTCAAAATCCCAATTTCAAACCACCAAAACTCGATCGTGCCCCGGCTTGAAATAAATACCCAGTTACAGATTAAAATAAACCGCCCAAGGCACGAAATACTTTCCAAGAAGACTCTAGACAGATTAAAATAAACTGACAAAAATGAAAAGAATAAAAAAGGATAGAAATGCAAACCGCGGTGGGGTTGCCTCCCCACAAGCGCTTCTTTACCGTCTTTTAGTTGGACGCCAGTAGAGGAACTAAGGGTCCTCGAGCTTGATCAGCAGCTCTGCTCGTTCGACAGCACCTCCCAAGTACAACTTTAGGAGGTGGCCATTCACCTTGAATGGCTCAGTTTGAGCATTGCTGATCTCCACCGCACCGTGCGGGAAAACTTGGGTGACCGTGAAGGGTACCGACCACCTCGAACGTAGCTTGCCCAGGAAGAGTTTCAGAATGCATTGAAGAGCAGAACACGATCACCTACCTGAAACTCCTTCGAGCCCCTTAACCGACCGTCGTGTAGACGCTTGGTTCGCTCTTTGTAGAGCATGGTGTTCTCGTAGGCGTGGTAACGCCATTCCTCCAACTCCAGCAGCTGCAACTTACGTTCAGTACCTGCAACACTCAAATCCAAGTTTAGCAGCTTAAGGGCCTAGAAGGCCTTGTGCTCTAGCTCTACTGGCAAATGACACGCCTTCCCATAGACAAGCCTATAGGGAGAAGTGCCAATCGGGTTTTATAGGCCGTCCTATAGCGTTGCTTAAATCTTAACCTCCTCTACTCTTCGGGTCGTAGCCCTATGCTCGATTCTTGCCAACGCAAAGAACCATTATGACATCTTTGCCTCTTGATTAGGGCGCCATTTCCCGTAACTCCTCGTTTGTCGTCTATCGACGCTCTAGGTACTTTGCCTCTCCACAACCTTATACTGATCAGCTAGCATCCCCTTAGGATATGAGCTGCCTTGAACCTCCTCTTCTCACTCATGAGAAAGAGTTCACAATACTATCTTCTTAGGAATCTACTCCTCTCCTTCTTGAGACGTATCATAATCCCATGGGGAATCCTAAAGTTGTTTCCTTGTCATGCTTAGAGTATACTGGAGATTGTAAAAATTCCCGAAAGACTCTGACTCGTTTGGCCAAACTTTTAACCGACACTCCTTTTTTCTTTCCTTTAAAAACTGAACCCCTAAAAAATGTAAATCGTCACTCCAGTATTCCTTGGAGACCAAGGAACAGAGAGTGACGACTCTGATACCAAACTGAAACGACCCGATCCTTTTTGAAAATCAAACCATAACTCAAACCACAAATCGGTTACTCCGGAGCAACCCTAGCTTTTTAAACAGTTTATATGGCATGACGTTTATGCTAGCTCCTAAATCCACCAAGGACTTTCTTATATGCAAACTACTAATCATGCAAGGGATAGTAAAACTTCCTGGGTCTTTGCGCTTCTCTGGTATCTTGTTCTGCAGGATGGCAGAACACTCCTCGTTGAGCATCACCGTCGACAGCTCCCCAAGCTTCCTCTTGTTGGTGAGGAGATCCTTCATGAACTTAGCATACTTGGGCATCTTTGATAATGCCTCCACGAAGGGCATACTAGTGTTTACCTGCTTCAGCATTGCCATGATCTTGGCAAAATCAGTTTCCAGTCGGTCTTTGTGCCCGGACAGGTGGATCAGCAGTCACCTTGCCACTCCTGGTACTAATGGCCTTGCAGTGCTCATTTGGGTCCTGCAGATGAGGAATGGCCTGACCGGGTAAAGTACCAGAAGTCCTCTAGTCTACAGCCTGTGCCACACTCCCAAGCTGGGTCTGGATATCCCGCAATACACCCTACGTGTTTCTCGTGCCAGCCTCGAGCTCCATGAATTTACCAGAGGATTTCTCCATGAACTGCTCGATATTACTGAACTTATTAGCACTGGAAGTGGCCAGAGAACCCACCAGATCGCGCAAATCGGCCATCAGATCACTCTGTACTGGGGGTGGGGGGCTGCACCTGACGGCTGAAATGGCCGCATCTGTGACTGAGGAGGAACTGGCCTTGTCTGGGCAGGTAAAGTGGTTGTTGCTGCTAGAATTGCCCTTGTCTGGGCTGGTAAGGAGGCCTGATATGATCCAAATCCGAAGAGAACCCTCGAACTCGGATTATATGACCAAAGTACGCAGCTTCAACGATCATTTATGATTTTCTAATGTCTCCTTTCTTGAACTCGAAAAATAAAAGATAATGCGGAATCAATCGCACAATCCCAACCGTGATGAAGGGCAATTGGTATATGAAACCAATCGGACAGCACCAACTTGTGGAAAGGGGCAATTGATATAGGGTAGAAGCTCGCCACAACTAGATGCGTTCTCTAGTTGATAAGAGACACGTGAAACCTCTGGAGCACTCTCGACAGAAGCTTGCACAAAAGAACCAGTTCGTTTGAACTTGAAACTTGAAAGTTGATTGATAATAGAATGAGTTACAATGAGGAGCTCAGCCTCTTATTTATAGACTAGCTAACACAAATCCAAAGCTTAAAATGAAAAACAAATCCTACAAGTAAAAGGAAAAACACAATCCTTAAAAGACAAGTAAAAGGAAAACACAATCCTTAAAAGACAAGTAAAAGACTTGGTCAACAACTCCCTAGGTTCTATCCTTCCCTTGTGTTCCCACCTTGATCCTTTTCACACTTGAGACTCCCCTCCTCTTCCTTAGCCGAATCCTCTTCTCCTTCCAAGCCCATTCTTCCTTCATGCTGGCCCACGAGTTGTAGCAATGTAATGGTCTTCCCATGATGATGATCCACGTCCATTTGAGCAAAGTGACGATCCAAATATGCAGCAAACTCCTCCCTTAACCTCTTTGCTTGTAGACGTGTAATTGGCCCCTCTTGTGACGAAATGGACTTGGTTTTGATGACCTCATCAGTCCCTCCCTCTTGAAAAGGATTTGACCTCAAATCCGAATTGTCCTCCAAATATGGTGCAAGGTCAGAAA